GTTTCCTCTTTTTCTTTCATTAGGACAAGATTGATTTTAAAATTATAAAAGATATAATCAAAAAAAAGTTTATTTACTTATAAATTTCATTTACAATGTTGAAGGGAAATTTTGAAAGTTGAAGGAAAATTTTGAAAAATTATAATTAAAGTTAATTGTAATAATTGTAGAAACAAATAATAATGCTAGCAGATAAATAGTAATCGATCCTTTTTTCCTATTTGTTTATTACTTCATATAGCCGTTTATTGTTTATATATTAGTTATAGATAATACTTAAGTGATATTAAAAAAAAAGGAGAAAATTATTGACAAACCATTGCATTTTGGATTATATTTCTTAGAAAAACATTGTACACAATATGGCTTCTCATCTGCAATCTAAATAATTTGTTTTTATATACGATTAATAAAATTGTAAAAGATTGCAAATTCAGAATTTCCAAGTTTAGAATGAACTGATTAATTATTGCTATGAATTCTTTCCTACTAAAAGTAAAAATTAAAAACGGTTTTCTTTTTTTTCAGCCAAAGATTACTTTTTCACTTATAAGTTCATAATATAATCAAATTGCGTTTGTTATTTTATTTGAATATGGGGATAAAGAAATTGAGCATATATCTCAACGATATGCTTGAAGAGATTCTGAAATAAAAGTTATATCATATTAATAATTGCTATTATTGGTTCAAAATGCAAATTATGATATCCAGAAAAGATTAAGCGTTCGAATTATGACATGTGCAGAAAATTACCGAATCATGATTCTCAGGAAAGATCACCTATTTAAATCATAAAATCTAGGAAAGGTTGTCCGTTCAAATAAAACCATTGATCTAGATAAGATGATTACCTGATAGGTTTGCTTAATTGGTGCATTACAAGCATGGCAACGAAAATGGTCGGGATGCCAAAGGCGATTCATTGCAATTACTGCTTCTTCACCCAAAGATGTATTACAGAGGGCACACATTCGACGATCACTTTCTGGCTGTGGAACGTATCCCACACCGTGGCTTATTGTTGAATCACCCATTTTGACTCAAAATAAAATTATGCTGATAGAAATAACCGTTCAGTATGGATCCATTCAATTTTTTTATTACTTCAAACCTATTTTATAAGACTGAAAAAAATTTGCTAAAATATGCAAATTTGCAGTTCGCATTTTTTCTTTCTTTCGCATATATACAAATATAAGTGCATTTGTAACAATTAGTAATAATAAATAACGCTAATAAAGAAAAAATATCACTTGAATGATATAAAAAGTAATGATGTAGGTGAGAAGAAATAAGAAAATCTGCAGATTAAATATAATCGATTATTTTTATTCTGGTAACTAGCTAGACCCAGCCAACTAATCTGTAGGGGCCGGTTACGCTTTGCTTGTTCGGCTCCAGCCAGCCTTTATAAACAAAAATGTCATTCAAAATCTTACATCTTCTAAAGTTCTTAAATGCGCGCCTTATCTATACTAATTCAAAATCTTAGATATCGGAAAGTCTTTACGTATTGCTTTGGAATTTTGAAAAACATTAAATTCGAATACGCGCGTGTTTTTATATACACGCCTTGTTGTAGCTCAGCCTAGTTAAGGAGAAAAAAAAAAAGAAAGTACGTATTTCTAGTGTTGAGGAAAAAAACTGGTACTTTGTAATTTGATTTATAATCTGGCTGGATTGAAGTTTGACTCTTGCTATCGTGATTCGACTAGGTCAGCAATAATAGATCTGAAGAGGTTTTGTGTCTTGTATGACAAAGATGAATGCTGTTGAGAAAGGTTTTATTGATTGATGAAGAGTGATTCTTCGTAACAAACAAATATCAGAGAATATCCAGGTAAATTGATCACTGCGTTATTCTTTCCTTTGTCGCTAACAGAAAAGATTACTGTTCAGTCTTCAATTTGGCGCCTCATGATTTCGCTGTTAGTTGGATCGTTTGGCGGCAAACATAACATGTTTGAAGATCAGGAAAAAAGGAGGGATTCCGAAAGGAGATATGAGGATCGGATTTGAAGCAGAAGGTTATTCTTATTCCACAATTGGTCAATGAGCGCCAGTGCTTCCACAACAGTTTTCTACAAGAGTTTTCTACAAAGACCCCAGCAAAAATCGATTCGAGTCTACGCAACAATCAACAATCAGGGACCAGGATTATTCTATTCTGCGAGCAACAAAGGAAAGAAATTCAGTGATAAGTCACTTAGATACTTCGGAATAACTGTTTGTTCGTAATTTGTTTGGGAGGGAAACAGTTTATCCTACTGTTATCAGCCTATTGGCACATTTGAAATTATCTGCTTCCTGACCTTTAAAATCCCTTGTTTATATCAATTTTCGGATTTTTCCGATAGCCTATTCGAAAGCAAGATTGTATTGAAATTTGAAAGCAATCGATAAGAGTTTGTGAAGTTACTATGGCAAGTAAAAGCCTGGTGCATCAATAAATTCAGTCCGCTTACCTATTTCACAAATTAAGAAATAAACAAAAAGCTTAGAACACTTACACAGACAAAAATTTGAAACCGGTTACGCGCCTATTCGAATGCAACTTGTATAGAAAAAAAAAACATCAAAAAAATGCGTCTATTCAAATCAAAGTTGTATCGAAATTTGAAAGCAATCAGTGAAAAGATTGCAAAGTTACGTGCCAAATAACAGCAACGATGATTTGCATTTTTATTTATATAAATTACATCATTTCTTTGCTCAATAAAATATTGGTTTTAGTTTCATTAATAATATTAATTTTAAACGAATTTTCACCTACACTTATCACTCTTATTTCACTAAAATATTATTTTCAATTTCATAAATGGTATTATTTTTAGCATGAGCAAGATAAATTCAATATTTAAAAAAAAAAAATTTAACATATATTTCTACTGCTGTTGCTGTCAAAAAGATCGCAAAAATTCGTCAAGTTCCATTTAAAAATGAAGCTTTAAATACCAAATTATTTCCGATTTTTCCCTTCGCCTTTCATTTATTACGTATCATTTAAATGTAAATAAAAGAACTTGATTTCATCTTCTAAATTAATTATTCATTAATAGTATACCTATCATATATAAACGAAAAACCGGAAATTCCACAAATTAGATTACATTGATTTCAAGTATATTCCATAGCCGCCTTGACAAGTTGTATAACACGCAATTGTTGCTCAGGTTAGGCTTAGGCGTAAGTTTAATTTGTTGAAATTTTCATCTATCCTTCTTTCCATCTAAAAGTTGTAAGGTTCTTTACATTTAATTTTGTTTTAAAACAAAAAATTGTAAGGAAAAGGGTAATTGTGACGAAAGGAAGAGAAAGTAAAATTATTAATAATAATATATTGAACGATTTCAATTTCTTAAAAGTTCGACTGAATGAATCAAATCATTTTAGATGTGTAACAAATTTGTTGACAAAAATGTACCATTTTTTGATCAATTCATAAAATGCTATCAGTGAATCACTTATTTTTCCATGAGGTCAACTTATTGCGTGTTTCTTTTGATGAGCGGTGTTAAATGATTAGTGATATATATGACATTTCTGCCTAAATCTAAAATGATTCAGCTGGATATTTCAAGAAAATTTTGTTGTTTTGTTGTACGAAATTAGTTATAAAATACAAATCTAATCAGTCTAAACATTAAAGAGCTACTGCATTCACAGTGAACCAAAATTAATTCGGTTCGCTCTTTTGCATTGAATTTCATATAAAATATTTAAGATAAGTTATGTGAGCACAAATGATATTATCGCAGAGAATTTTCTGTGAAAATCAGGAATTAGTAAGGTTTTTTGTGAACTAGAAGCCACATTATGCAATAGACTCCGGAGTTAACGTGGTTGTAGACATATAAGAGTTGTAGACAAATATTTGCATAAATTTTTTTCCCACAAAAATAGAGATTGGTTCTTTGATATGCAACAATCTTGTCATTTACGCGAAATAGATGCAAGTTCAAAATGATTAAATCTAAAATTATACAATTGTATAACAAAGATATTATATCGATGCTATCGCCGAAGTATCACTATATAGTTCACCGAAAAAAAAAAAAGACCAGAAGGAAAAAATAATTATCTAACATAGTTGGAAATGATGAAACTAAATTTTTGATTGTAATTAAATAAAAGTTACATTTATTATCAGTTATGTGATATAAAATCGCAGATTATTTATAATCATTTCATAATCTAATATACTGGAAACAATTTTGTCTAATGATTTATTGGAAATCCTACAAATTAGTTTTCCGATTTTTATAATTTATATAATTTTTGACGATTTAGAATGCTTAATTATATATGTAGATGTTTGGGAGTTCTTTTGAATAAACTTTAAAACAAATCGTCAGTCAAGTTAAAATCCTAATTAGTAACACTGATTTTTTAACTCCTAAAAACTTTAGTTTTTAGAAAATTGAAATGCAAAAAATAAAAAATTTCAAATTTCGAAATAACTTATCAAACTATAAATAATTGCATATCATCTTTCTCGTTTCTTTTCTTTTTTTGCAAACGGACAGAAAAAGTTTGAACTGGTAGAAATCAATCATTGAGAAACTTTTTGGCAACGAAAAAAGGAGGGAATGAAAAGAGATCTATAAAAAAATCCACAGAATCATTCAATGAAAAAAGCATTTCTAGTAGCTACTAAATTTGGTCATCTGTGGATGGGCCTATAGATATCAGAATTTCTGTAGAAGATATTCTGGTCACCTTCGGCCACTTGTTATCAATTCTTTTATAAGTTTTCGTTTGATTCATCCAAAAGCGATACATAGCACTCTATGAAACATTTCTGCATTTAATAATTAGGTAATTCTCATAATCTCAGTAATTCAGCAAACATTAACAAGTTAATTTGTGTTTTTGCACCTTGAAATTCCGGATGAGACTGGAATGCTGCCGGATTCCGACAATCATAACAAAAATATCATAAGTTTTATTAAAGAAATGATGAAATTATTAGTAAAGGGTAATGGAGTGTAGAGCGCGCGCCAATGGTGTAGCGGTATCATTGCACCCTCCCACGGTGCAGACCCGGGTTCAACTCCCGGTTGGCGCACACCTTTTCCACTTCCAACCGTCTTGTGAACATCATTTCTCAGAAATTTGACCAATTTGGAAACTTTTCCTTTTTTGAGCTATAAACATTGATTCGTTAGTTCGTTATAATTGACTAGTTTGAGTGATATGCCATTCTCGACATGATTAAACTTCCTATTTTAAATAAATAAATATTATCAATGAATTAGTTCCAATTTTCTTTGGCATGAGAGTTTAATTTTTTTTCAACATGTATTACTTATACTGTTTGTATCAAACAATTTCTTTTTATCATTCAAATTTTCCGAATAATTAAGATTATTTATTATGATCGAAAAGTAATTATGATCTATTTATTCATGTGAATTCGAAAAGTTTGGACAATAAAAATAAAGTGGCTTCCAAATCTTAGTAAATTAAAGTATATTGGTTAAAATTAATAGCAAAAACTATTTATTAATTATAACATTATTATTTGTAAAAACTACTAAGTGTAACACTTCAAACGAATCAATCTTCCATTTATTTGACATCATACATTTTCCATTCATCTTGCTAGATATGTCAGTAATTAGAAGATAGTAGAAATTTAAATTTAAATTCATCATTTATGCCATGCTTGAATCATTGCATACTTGTCTTTCTGAAGATTTCTGAACAGTTTGTAAAATGCATTTCATT